TTGTGATTGGTCTAATGCATAAAGCGCATGTTGGAAACAAAACGCCCATTGCCATAGTTCTGTATTTCTAATGCTCAATAGAAAGTATAACATCTGTAAACATCATTTATCATTAGAGATGTAACGATTCACTCAACTCATGATTCGATTCTATTCACGATACTGATTTCACGATTCGATTTTCTCACGATTTTTTCTAAACAAAATTAGATTTAAGACAAATTATAAATGAAAAGGTGTCCTTTATTATTGCTTGGACAAAATGCTGCACATTTCTTTGTTAAACAAAAATATGTCAAAAAACTAAACTAAAGTGAAATTTTAAAACAAACCCTAAATCTAAACAAATAATTAAGACAAAAAATCTCTTCATATAAACAAAGGCTACCTGTGCTCTTTCCATTCAAAATTAGAGGCAACCACTGCATTTGAATCACAATCCAAACAAAGATGCTGAATGCATGCAGCATAAGCAGTTTTTTTAATCTAAATTAGATTGTATAATTTGAAATTTTAAAACAAAAACAGAAAGCTCTGACTTTAGTTTTGTGAAACTATATTACATAAAACATCTGCACGAAACAAAGAGCAGAAGCTCTAAATGAGACGCAGATTCACTCTCTGACAGCAGGTAGCACTTATGAAACAGCAGCGATACAGCGTTACCTTGGTTACCGCTGTAAACAAAGCAGCGCAGCACTCATGAATGCTGCTTTAATATGAATTATACAGAGATGAGATGAAAAGAAAATATCATCTAAACGTTTCTAAAGACATCAGTTCCCCTCAAAGATACACTTATATAAACTTTCACCCCCAAATGTATTATTATGTACATTTGTAAATAAATATATTATTTATTTGTACCAAATTTCAACCGGCTCGCGGTGAATCATTACATCCCTATTTATCATACTTACAGGTTGTGATTCAGTGGAGCCAGCTGGTCCAAATAAACTGGGTACTGAGCCATCTTTCAAGAGCAAGCATTTTGTGAATCCCACGTTGAACTACTCGAGATTAGAGAAGCAGTCGTCAGTAAAATACAAACACAAAAAAAGATTGGGGTTGTACTGCTGAGGCACAGTGGAAAAAATGAATTTTAACCACTGATTCTTTGCAATCTCATCATTCGGAAGTGAAAATAAAATTAATTTACTTTCACAGCGTCTTCTCGACATGATGTTTACCACACTAACCAGCTACAGTGTTTGAGGGTGGTGACAAGTTGTTTGCGGCCGGCCAACATAAAATATAGCTGGGCATTATGCAAATGTGTTACTCCCTGACAAAGTAGGATTCGAATTCCTGATGACTCGTTTCGGATGTTCGAGTCGATTCTTTCTTTTGGGAGACAATAACTTTATTTATCATGCACTTTTCGCTTTACAACTTTGCAGATTGTTTACATTCACATACAGCTACATTACACACTGCATGCGAAGCTAGACGTTTCTTCTTATATTAACTAACATACTCTACGATTAGCTCAGTGAATAATTAAAAAAAAACATAGACCTAGAACAAGCGGAGTGATACAACATTGTGAAAGGGCGTTCCTGTAGCGATACCAGTACAATATCTCACGGTTCTCAACCAATCAGATTTGAGAACCAGGACGAACTGTTGTATATATATATATATATATATATATCAGCTAATGTTTATTTTATTTAATTTCATTGTAACTTTTTTTTTTACATTGTTGTAGTTTTAGTTAACCAAAATAACGTTTGGAGTCTGTCTACGGACAATGGGTTATGCGAGGTCATCCTAGGTCCTCTTACTCTTTTATTGTACGAAAAAGAGCTTTGAAAACATCCTGACAACCTCGTTTTGTGGTCAATAAAAGAAAGACACTCTTGTTGTTCCAAACCTGAATTTTGTCGAGTAAATTATGACAATTTTAACTTTTGGGTGAACTATACCTTTAAAAGCGCCATATTAGTTTCTGAACTTCGCTATGCTGTGGTAGAGTCTTAACTTTGCTGAAGCTGAGAGAAATTTAGGTCACCTCTAGGCTAAAAAAAACTAAGAAAATAAAAGCTTATTGCCCATTTTTGTGGTCTAGGTTGCTATTTGGAACACCATTTGTTCCAAGTTCATCAATGGTAATAACTAAGCTTTCTGCCTGAGTCATGGTTTTCCTTTGCTCAATATAAAAAGGGGCCCCACAGCCATGAAACTTTAATGGCGACACAAGATAGTTGGTCTTTCCTTTGATACCCTGCTCACCATCATAGGCCCAGTTGCTAAGAGAGCTTGACTTGCCTTGGTTTAATGTGTCAGCACTTCTGATGTTACGTAAAGCCACACAAATGCTATCAATCTCTAATTCATGAGTGGCAGGCCAGAGACGTGCCTTGGAGACGCAAGCAAAGATGCAAACGGTCGTCATCGCCACACGGAAAACCGATCCGGGGAACTTTTACTGTAGACTTGACCTTCATTTGCTCTTTAAACTATAGAGTGGGGGAACTATGACGTCAGAATCCGGAAGAGTAATTCACTGCGGGTTCCTTCGAAATTTTCCTGTGGGGTTTTTCAATTAATGAGTAAAATAAAGCTTGTGGTAAGCATAACTTGACGATACTTTTACGGTTTGTTCTACAACGTAAATTACACGGATCCATACCCAAAACACAAATTTTGAAGGAGTTATGTTCATTTTTTCATAAGCAACTAGATAAGAACGTTTGGGCTGTAAGTGTGTGCAGTTTACATTGTAGAACAAAACATAAAAGTATCGTCAAGTTATGTTTACCGCAAGCTTTATTTTACTCATTAATTGAAAAACCCCATAGGAAAATCTCGAAGGAACCCACGGCGAATTACACTTCCGGATTCTGACGTCATAGTTCCCCCACTCTATTAACCTTTGCGTAACGGGACAATTAATTTCCTACTTGTTCTCGCTTTGTGTAGCGCCCTCAAAGAAAGCCCATTTTGATCATAATCACTGATCTGTGTTGCAGAATTCATGGTGTCGATTTTGTATGATTTATATTCTACTGTCGTCTTCTCATAACTTACCATTAATTTCAGGATAAAGGTGCGCAGGGAGGAGAGACCGGCGGAGAAAAGCCAGTGGGTTGAGACCGGATTCCTCCTGCTAATAACAGCAACCACTGGCAGTCGTAGATCTCGTCTTGCGTACCATGAAGGAGCATGTTAATCAAATCAGTCACTCAAGGACTGCAGCGCGTTCACTGTCTCATTGCTTGCCAGTGTAAATCAAGAGAGCAGATAGTCAGTTCCTGCAATGCTGCGGTAAAATAGAGCGCAAAATGCAGGTCTACGTTAAAGCTAAAACAAGTATTAGTTGGATTGTGTTTGACTGTCATTTGAATTTAGAGTAAATGGTTAAGGTTAGGGTTTGGGATAGGTGTATATTTTCATCCAGTTGATTTTCATCAGGGTTTGAAGAACATTGTTATCATTTTCCTGTGCTTGTAGACTGAAATGGTTAAGGTTATGGTTGGGGCTCTCGTCAACCAGAGTTTAGGGTGAGGTTTAGGACAGCAGTTCTCAATTCCAGTTCTCGCGACCCCCCCCCGCTCTGCACATTTTGTAAGTTTCTCTTATCACTTCTATTCGACCCTGCGAAGTGGATATTCACAGGATATTCCGCCATGATTCCAGTTTGAAGGGATTGTATATGTTCCATTCAAAGGGCATTAAAGTGTGCGAGTCGTGAATTGAAATTGTATTTATTTACAGTTGTATATTATGTCACACTTTACACTTCTCTAGTAAGTTTTGTCTGTGTGTGAAGACTCTGCAGGCAGGAAAGTAGCGCAATTCAGTGAATGAATGTTCCGAAGTGAAGTAAACTTCAACATATTTCCCGTGCTCAGGGAGTAGGGAGCAGTGAACACTGTGGGACAGTGTCCATTGGAACACAGTTCATGCATGGAGCTCTCTTATAACGAGCTGGTGATTTGAATAAGGTGTGTTAAATTTTGAGAGACATGCAAAATATGCAGAGCGGGGGGTCACGAGGACTGAGGTTAGGATTTCAAAATGATCATAATATCCATCAAATATTTAGACTTAAGTTAAGTGAAGGCATGTACTGTTTAGGGATATGTTTGATTGACAGGAGTGCTGTACCAGGACCAAAAAAAGCAAGCAAACAAAAAGATATAGATATGGGTACATTTTTTCTTAATTGGCAAAATCATGGACACTTTGATGTCCAGTTGCTTTGTAACCATGCTTTTGCCAAGTAGGACATTCATGGATCAACATTTTTGGTGGTATTGGATTAAAATAGTGTACAACCAGTGGGAATCGAGATTGAAATGTTTGAAAATATGTCTTTAATAATTTATATTCTGCACTGTAATCATAATTTGCGTGAAGCGAAATAAAAGTTGTAGTTATTTTACTGCCACTAATGTTTATTTCAGCTGGAAACTGCAGTGAATTATATGTATACGTAAGTTTTTGCAAAAATGTGGGTAGAGGAACGTTGTTCCACAGAGCCCATGTTGATTTTAGGGGTTGTTAATTGTTAGGAGTGGGTTTAGGATTCTATTTGTTTGACAGGAATGCTATCCAAAACTGTTTGTGGTCTGCTTACTTTAATTTTGCCTAAAGCAATGTCCTCATTTCTTTCAACCAGTCAGTTTTCAGGGTTAAGTTAGGGTAACTGATCGTTTCCCTTTGATTTTAATGGTAGTTAATGGTTAACGATAGACCTAGAACTTTATTCGTTTGACCGGAATGCTCTTCCAGCAACATTTCCTACTTTGCAAAATCATGATCATCTTGAGGACCACCAGAAAATAAATGTACTCGAGTGAACACCACTTGCTAGTAACACTGCTTGTCTTCTGAATTTCTCCATGTATATGTCTCTTTCTCTTTGGTTATTTATCTTACGAGCATCGGTGGAAAATTTGATTTTGTGCTTCTTTTTTCTTCTGTCTCTCCCCACCTCTCTGTCACTCCATCGTTCTCCTGCTCTCTGCCGATGACACTATCCGTGACTCCAGACTGGCAGTATGAGGGTAAGACGATGTATCTTATCTTTCTGTTCCTCTTTTGTTCTCTCATCGGGCATGAGAGCACAACTCTATTAACCCTTCACAACCCCAGTGGCAACAGCTATCTCTATACACATAAAGAAGTCATTTTGTAAATCTCTCTTTGACTTGTGGTCCCCCGGTCCCGGTAGTGGATAGGTTACAGTACGCGTAGATCCATTTATATGTGCAGGTTGTGTGACTTAATGGGAGCTGAAATTGAAATGTCTTGTTTAGTATGAGTTACGCAGCGGTCTAGACTTGATGAAATTCTGATGTCTCTTTTTTCTCTTCCTTTTTTCCCATTCATTCTGTGTCCTTGTTTTACAGAGTGCAAGCTCTCCAGAACAGGCCCGCCTGCAACCATTGTAGCCATAGATGAGGAGAGTCCTAATGGTAGGTCTACATTGTTCGTTTCTTTTTTTTTGTATCTGCATTTCATTAAACTAAAATGAAGGACAGTCGTTTTGAAAGAGTGTGGTCAGAATTCAGAACAGCACTTGAGTTTAATCATGAAATTCAAGTCTGCCAATTTTTGGTTTAGCTCAGATGAACTGTTTAAAAATCTGAGGTGGACAGTTCACTAAAAATGAATTGTTCCCGCTCAATGCTCATTTACTGCCATGGTTTTTGTTGTTTTGGTGCTGATTCACTTCCACCAATCAGGTAACGGCATAAACATGTCCATAAAATATGTTGCAATTCCCAATCATGCGAATATGTTCTGAGAGTTTGGTTGTGGAGGATTCTAGTTCAGAAGCTTTTGATTCGATTAGATTGTGATTTTGATATATTTTGATTCATTTATGATTCATTTGAGTATATTCAGTTCAAGTTGTGTTGATAACAAATGGAACTGACATGATTGTCTTATGTAAACCTGCTTTTTAGCTGAATTGAATTTGTTCATGATTCATGAATTTTGCAACGTCGATACTGTTATTGAACGGAAATGAGTTTTGAATGACTTGAGCAGAATAATGACACTGTTGATTTCAGTAGAGCTGCTTATTGCTCATTTGAACTCGTTATTTGTTAACAGTTATTTGATCTGAACTGAACCAACACTGAACTGACTGGAACCAAATAGTGACATGAATTGTGTATTTTGGATTTGCCTAATTTTTTAAGTTTGCATCATTTATTTTGTTACGATATTGTTTAATACTGTGAAGCTGCTTTGAAGCAATCTCTATTTTCCAGTATTGCTAAGCAGCGTACTGTACTATACAGAACTTGAATATTGATTCAGTAGCTTCTCTGACATATTTAGTGAGTTCAGTGAAGACTTTGAATGACTGAACTGTAACTCTTGTGTTTGAGTGTTTTTAAATGATTGGTCTTGAGATGAAGGACTTGATCAAAAGAATAGTTTTTGTGTTTGAATCAGACTACACTGGTTGTGCTGTATGTTTCTGATTCACTAAAAAGAACTGGTTCATTAGAGTCAATTGTTTGAGAATCAGACTAAATTGAAAACGCAAGGATAAAAAGATGTGTTTTCTTGCCATCATTTTATAGCACTGATCTTAATTTACATTTAAAAGAGGCGTGTTTGTGCTCAATGACAAATGGCTTACTGTACTGTGAGTATGTAAATTGGTGTCTCAGATCAGTCATTATGTGGTTAAACTGAACTGTGGGTAGCTAGTTAATAAGAGGTAGATTGAAATACAGAGTACAAAAGTGCCGCAGCTCTCCTGTGTGATTTCCTTCATTGTGTGCTAATTGACAGTGATGGATGTAAACAGATTTGTTCAAATCCACTGGAGAACATTTGTGGACAAAACGGTGTGTATGTTGCACTGATGAAAGCTATTTTTGTTCTTCACACTTACCTTAGACCTCCCATGGCGCACCTCACCAGGGCGCAGATGCACAGATGGTGTACAGTACGCTGCTACTTTGATGGGCCTTTCAAGTATTGTCATTTCATCCTCTCTTCATCTGCTCTCTGTATCTGTGTGCTCAAATGTTGAGGGGCTATAAGAAGGCTTCAGGAGAAGCCTGAGAGCTGCATTTGCCTTTGAACTAGGGCTGCACGATTATGACAAAAATCATAATTGTCGATTATTCCCTTGAAACTGTAATTGCGATTATTAATTACGATTATCACAATTTACATTGAATGATGTTTATACCATTGTTTGATGCAACTGCATGCCGTATTTTTTATATGAAAATAAACAAGCTGAAAACACTCTAACTGAAATTAGTTAGTGCTTTTCAATAGTATTAAGCCTCAAATGTCAACTATACATCGGATTGGTTTGTTCTTTAAATTATAAAAAAGTAAAAATATGAATGGTATTATAATGTTATAAAACATAAGTGGACTTTGAACGATTAATTGCCGCTTTGAACAATTACGTAATTGTGGCATCCATAATTGTAATCGCGATTAGAAATTCGATTAATTGTGCAGCCCTACTTTGAACATAATTGGAACGGCTTACAGGTGTGATAAAGGGTCAACACTTTTGCAGTATATATATATATATAACTAATAAATTGCTAGTAAATTTCACAAACAGTTGCAAAGAATCAGCAATTAACACATTGAATTAAACGTAAAATTTTGAAATAGAAAAACTAAAATAGTAGTACTCCAATATATCGTTTTAATTTTTTAAAAAATATACAGTATATACCAGAATTGAGAAAACGAAAATAATTTTGATTTCATGATTTAACATATAATCAACCCAGTCTCATAAAAATACGTACCTCTGGGTACTTTTCTGTATAATCATACCATACTTTTGCATATTTAAAATAATATATATATTTTTTTGCATTCAAAATGGTACATTTGGTACAAAATTGTATATTTGCAGTGCAGAAAGTGTTATAAATTTGACTGTTTCTGTCTTTGTTTTTTAATGTTTGGAGATTATCTCAGCGTACAATTTGATTTTAGTATGAGCGAATCTCTTCTCTCTGTTTGTATTTATTACCACATCACTACAGAAATAGATGAAATAGTTGAGCGTTTGTCCAGAAGTTTGAGAAGTGTTTGCTTAGTCAAATTAAGGAAAATCGCTTCTCTTAGGCTTATTTCAGAGCTTTTATAAATTGGCAGGATTTGTAGTAATCTCTTCTTTTGCAATTTACCTTGAAATTTCTCTCCTAAAGCTGTGAATCTCTACGCAATTATTAGAGTAAAGAATAATCATATTCATCCAAGAGTATTATCCTCTTTAATGTATGCAATGAGATGCTGCCTTTACCTCAAATTACAGATGTTTATTACCACATCACTACAGAAATAGATGAAATAGTTGAGCATTTGTCCAGAAGTTTGAGAAGTGTTTGCTTAGTCAAATTAAGGAAAATCTCTTCTCTTAGGCTTATTTCAGAGCTTTTATCAGTTGGCAGGATTTGTAGTAATCTCTTCTTTTGCAATTTACCTTGAAATTTCTCTCCTAAAGCTGTGAATCTCTACGCAATTATTAGAGTAAAGAATAATCATATTCATCCAAGAGTATTATCCTCTTTAATGTATGCAATGAGATGCTGCCTTTACCTCAAATTACAGATGATACCCCATTTTCACTCATTCCATCCTCCCGTCTCTGAGATCCACACATTATCTTTAAAACACCTTGAAAGCTATGCCACATAAAGGATCATCATTTTGGCTAAAAATGTGTCAACTTTGGAAAGCTCAAACTGTAAACAGAGTTGTCACAGGGAAATAGTGATAAATGTTTTATGTGTAAAATGTTTGCTCTGAGGAGACACATCTTTCTCTCGCTTTCCTTCTTTCTGTCTTTTATTTAAAGCACTTAATTACACTTTTACAATACATGTTTATAATTGCAATATAAATGCATGGGCAAGTACTAAGTGAAAACTTTAGATACCATCTACTTGGAATGGTCTATTAGTCATTCAGTAACTGACTAAATGATTGCTGACGTTAACTAGTTTTGGAGTTTTTAAACTAATGGCTGTAATGGTACTACATTAAAGGGAATAAATTAAAAGAAGCAACTTAAGCAAGCTTTTTATCTATGTCAAAGGGCTGCATGTTCTCAGTTTGCACACTTTGTCATCATTGGTCAATGTAAACATTTTTAGTTGTTGGCCATTGTGTTGGGTCTCCATGAGTGTATCATTTTAAAAGGTACTTTTTTATTTAAACATGCACTTTGTGAATAGTCTGCATTCTGTTCCATTTTGCTGTGCTTCATCCAGAATACAAGAACTATGCAGGGTCTGAGACCAAATAGATGTTGAAAGTACTTGTATAAAAATATAAAAAAAACATATGTATTCTGTGTGTAGTAAAAAAAAAAGAAAAAAAAAAAGAATTATTAATAATTAATTATTAATTCACTAATTTATTGTGGAGTCACACCATATGACATTTTAAAACCTGAACTAACCTTGTTTTGTCATTTAAAAAAAAAGGTCAAGGTATCTGATATTTTGAGAGATTTACTGATATTATTTATTTATTGCATGTTGGTGAATTAATTAAATTTGGCAGTCAGTTTTTTTTTTCTTTTCCTCCAAATTATATTAATAAGCAGGAACTTTTTAAAAAATGTTTTTGTAAGAATAATCAAAGGTTCTTTAAAGGCCCTCGAAAGAACATTCATCATAGTATATTCATTGCACTATATGTATGAATTACATTTTTAATATATATTTAAATAAAGTAATCCGGAAATAATCCGGAACAAATTCAATATCAAATAGTGTGGGTGAAAGTCAGTTTGAGTTTTAAATATTGAATTTTTGAAAGTACTTGTATAAAAATATAAAAAAAAAATATGTATTCTGTGTGTAGTAAAAAAAAAAGAAAAAAAAAAGAATGATTAATAATTAATTATTAATTCACTAATTTCTTGTGGAGTTACACCATATGACATTTTAAAACCTGAACTAACCTTGTTTTGTCATTTAAAAAAAAAGGTCAAGGTATCTGATATTTTGAGAGATTTACTGATATTATTTATTTATTGCATGTTGGTGAATTAATTAAATTTGGCAGTCAGTTTTTTTTTTCTTTTCCTCCAAATTATATTAATAAGCAGGAACTTTTTTAAAAATGTTTTTGTAAGAATAATCAAAGGTTCTTTAAAGGCCCTCGAAAGAACATTCATCATAGTATATTCATTGCACTATATGTATGAATTACATTTTTAATATATATTTAAATAAAGTAATCCGGAAATAATCCGGAACAAATTCAATATCAAATAGTGTGGGTGAAAGTCAGTTTGAGTTTTAAATATTGAATTTGCATGTATTACACCTAAGCATGACTCATTTTAGCCTGTGAGATTTCAAGCACTATTATAATCATCTCTCAGGTTGTTGCTTTGATAGTACTCATTTATGAATGAAATATCTGTGAATTGTGTATAAAACTACTCACATGCTAC